TAATGTGATGGTCTTCAATTTAAAAAATTTGCAACGAAACTATAAATATTTAAATAACGAAGATGGTAATGTGACATTTGGAAGATTATCCCCTGAATAATTTAAGAGTTATATAAAGAATTCAAGCTCGGTGTTGCATTCTGAAATCGTTCTAAGTGAGAGAAAGCTACATGGTTAAATGCCGCGCTAACACAAACATTTGAATTGTTAATATTAATATAAAAGCATTTAGACCTGGTCGAATATATCACCCAATCATAATTTCGATGAAAAATGAACATTGTCATATCGAATGCGTGGAAAATTGCATAAGTTTGAACTGTCGGTCGGTATGGTTCGTAAACTGGTTCTCGAAGTGTCATTTAAAGAGAAAGTGTACGTATGGACATATATATGAGTTCCATATTTATAATATTTTAATTGATACGTTGAATATGTGTAACACAACTTTTCTTATATGAAATTCTACATTCTCTAAATATTTTTCTGCGATTTGGTATATATTACTTCTAATAAATTATAAAACTAAGAATATGAATATTTTATTTGAAAATTGTAAAATTTTAAGTAACTCTATACGTAGGTTGCCTTTTAAGTATTTACAATCGCTTGTTTATTCGGTTGTAGTGCATACGTCGCAACTAGAGATGAGCAACAAATGGCAAACTGCGATTCAATCGCAGCGATTTTGAAATCGCAATCGCAACCTGCGATTGGCTCACTTTAACTTAGACAACCAATATTACTATAGTTGCGAGTTGCAATTTTGCTGCGATTGTGATTTTGTGGTCCATTGAAGCATTTTATAGTAAACTGGGATGGATTTTTTTCTTTTATTTTATTTATTTATAGAGAAGATATTATTTTGTAGGACTAAGAGCTAAGATCATAATAAACCGGGTGTTTCTCAAGAGTGGTTCGCTTCTATAACTTTTTAATTTTTTCCTGATAAAAAAACGATATTTGGTATACAAGCATATGACATAAATTAGGATTGATTGACGTATTCAATTCGTTTCGATCACTTCATGTTTCACCGGAAATGAGAACAACTTTTGATTTTTAAATGGCACCCTCGGTATTTTTTTATTTTATTCCATAGAAAATGACATTCTGAATAGAATGCCTAGTACAATAATTAAATATTAAAATTGCACTCGCGGGTTACAATCGCAGCGATTGAAAAATCGCAATCTCAATTTCAATTGCGATTGGAGAATCGCATTTTTGCTCATCTCTAGTCATCTACTCCAGTACATCACTTAACTACTCCATTAGAGGATCAAACAACTGTTAATGCCGAATGGTAAACAACAATTTGTTTGTCAACGGTCTTCGATGAAATAAGGAAAACGAACAAAAAACGTCATTCTTCATCACGACAATGCCAGCTCCTATAAAGCACGTCAAACAACTAAATATTTGAAGGATAAAAACATCTAATTAATGCGTCATTACCCGTATTCACCCGATTTATCGCCTGATGACTTTTTCTTGTTCCCCACTGTCAAACTAAAGATGCGCGAACAGCGATTTTCATCACCTTAAGAAGCTGTTGAAGACTTTTAAAACCATGTTTGTACGATATCAGCTTCAGAGTGGAAAAAATATTTTCAAAATTAGGTTTGGACGTATGCAAAAATGTATAGACCTTAAGAGCGAATGTTTCGAAAATCAATAAAAACTTGTTCGTTTCTGTTTCACTTTAAAAAAATCTTAAAAGGCAACCTACGTATAAGAAATTTAAAATATTCAAGTCTAAACGAATTTAAATATACTGGATGAGTCTTAAACATATTAAAATATTTATAGGGGTGGTAGATTTCGACACCAGAAACACGTCTATGAGATTATGAAAAATTCAAATTTTTTGAAAAAAATAATGCAATTTATTTTTCTTTAATTTATAGTTGAAAAAAACATAACATCTTAATAATATGGCCACATAAGTAGTAGATTAAATTTTCACGAAAGAAAACACAATATCCAGTGGTTCTCAATTTTTAAACAAAAAATCGTTTTTTTTTAAGTTTTCAAAATAAAATAGCTCAGCTATTTTGGATTTATTTTAAAAACGGTAAAGAAAAAATATGTTTCTTCTATCGAGATCTACAAAAATTTTTAAATTTATTTAAGGCTCACCTTGTATAAATGTAATTTACCTTCATCCAAACAAAACAATTACAAATAAAAGACAGATTGCAAATAGAAAACTGCTTTTATTTGTGCATTTTATTATATTTAATAAATCACATTTAATACACTATTTAAGAAAATGAAGGTATGTCAAAAAGTGCGAATGTTTTTCAATAAAGTCCACAGCTCCATACAAACCAAAAATCCCGAGTGTTTTTGAGGCTACATTATTAAAAATCTTTAAACTATACAGGGTGAGCCAAAAAATACTTTGAAAATTTTATGTTTCGAAAAAAATTTGATTTTTTATTAATTTTCAGTAAAAAAACATAAATTGATAATATGGCATCATAGATAATAGTTTAAATTTAGAGTAACGAAAACAAAGAAAAAAATTAGTAGTTCTCAAAAGGTAATTATTTTTATCAAAGTAGAATAAGTCCGGATCTTTTGGGCTTATTTGAAAAACGGTAAAGAGAAAATACCCCGCTGGCAAGCAAACCTTTAGGTCGGCGTTTACATGTATAGGAGTGAGTCGTTATGGCAATATAGTAAGTCGGAGTGAGCAAAAATACGAAGTATTTATTACATAACTACTTAATCTGACGTTAGATTCCATGCGCTTGGGAAAATACTCGCCTTCTGTCTTTATTCAGTATATCTTATTTTACTAAGCGTGGTTAACCGTACTCTTCGCACACATGAAAACCGGCACCCAAGACCAGAAATGCCGACCCTTAGTATATATTATATAAAGTGTCATTTTCAAATGTCAACGCCACTGCCGGTTAAACCAACAGCTTTTAAGTTTGTACGCAAATTAATTATTTCATTGGCGCAGAAGTATTGAGACACCCAATATACCCACCACATATATATATATATATATATATATATATATATATATATATATATATATATATATATATATATATATATATATATATATATATATATATATATATATATAATATATAAAATATATGGTATAACATCAAATCCAATATTTGCAAAAAGTTAACACATCTCTATCAAGTGATAACCAACCATATTTACTTAGTGACTAAAGCACCGTATTCACTATGCGCTGATGCAGTTCGTCAATGCGTTGATTTTATGCGCCTGTGCGTCGATGCGATGAGTTGTGCGGCGGTTCGGCGGAATTTCGGTTTTTGAGCGAACCATCAAAAGAAATATCATGAATGGACAAATTTCCAAACAAACTAACAAATCACGTCGACGAAGCGCAAGCGCATCGACACATCGATGAACCGCATTTTTGGTGTCTGCAGTCAAAAGTTTAATGTGGAATTTCGTGATCTACAGGTTGGTTCCGGAAACTTCGGCAGTATATTCTGAAGATAAAAATAAGTAAAAAAAGTTCGTATACATGTATGTCCTAAAATGCTTAGTTTCGGAGATACAGGATGTAGAAGTTTCATATTGATTTCGATTTTTTCCAAATAATTTCTGAAATAACGTCAATATTTGGATAAAAATTGGTGTCTGGGAGTTCTTTGAATGAGAATTTTGATTTTGATGTCAATATGACTCCTACCTGTAGGGAGCGCTACCTACATATTTTAACTGGTTTGAAGAGTAATAACTTTTCCTCCGTACCTGTATAAAACTACTGAAGAAAAATATATATTTACGACGTTTTTACGTAAAAAAGGTATTTTGGTAAAAATCGCTACGAGTAATGGTTCTCGAGATATTTGAAATCAAAATTATCAATACCTTCAACTGAAACTGTTTTATCATCATTTTTTGGAAGAAAAATTTATGATTAATTTAAAAAAATAAATAGTTTCCAAATTTATAATTTCAGTCTCATAACTATCTACTCAATATGCGTTTATTTTTTGTCAATAATGACATGTATTAATTATTTACATTCTAAATGTCCTGAGAACGGTTACTCGTAGCATTTACCAAGAGACATTTATTTTTACGTAAAAAATCACGGAAATTAATATTTTTTTTCAATCAGTTGTTTTATACAGGTACGAACAAAAAGTTGTTACTCTTCAAAGCAGTTAAAACACATGAAGGTGGCGCCCTCTACAAGTAGTAGTCATATTGACATCAAAATCAAATTTCTCTTGTCAAAAAACTCCCAGACACCAATTAATATCCAAATATTTACGTTACTTCAGAAATTATTTGGAAAAAATCGAAATAAAAATGAAATTTCTACACCCTGTATCTCCGAAACTAAACATTTATATAAATTTTTCACTTCTTTTTATCTGCAGAATGTGTTACCGAATTTTCCGGAATGCAGTTGGGACCACACTGTATAATTAAAAATTTATAAATCAATATATCGAAAATAATAATTTTTATAAACCAGTTTCAAATCAAAATGATGAGAAAAATATAAAACAATATAATCCAAATAACAGTAAATCTTGAAAGCTAAAATCAAAGGAGAGATCAACATTAAATTAGACAAGTAACTCTGTTTTACTTAGAAAAAATTATTGTAATCATTTAGTATCAAAATTTCATGATATGAATGAAGTTAGTTATAAAATCATCATAACTAATAAAATACAGTTAAAAACTTATTTATTTTTAACAATACTTCTATAAAGTAGCTTCTATAAAGTATAGATTTAGTCACATTTTTTTAATTAGAATCACCTTATAAACACTATTTAATTTCAATTAAAATATCATAGATTTCTTACATTATTTTATAAAGAATTTTCTCTATATTAGCTCATATTTAATCAACATAAAAAAGATATTCCTCAATACCTAAAGAATTTCTCGAGTTATGTAACATTTTTTCTACAAACAACTAAGTAATATTTGCATAAGAAAAATTCCCAACCCAATTTATATTAGAAACTTACTTGCTCCTGTTGCCAAAATGGCCACCGCAGCCAATACGAATAATTTCATGACGATTTCTGTGATTTGTATGTTCTGTGGTGTATTTTTTACAAACTGGCGCTACACTAGAGAGGTCTTGTCTTGATGAACGACCTCTTGAGACTGAAAGATCGTGAAGAACTTTTCTTTATTTAATGACATGGCCGTTCGGTTGATGGCCAATAGGCGTACGGCGTTCGGTAAATTATATTCCATTAATATATTATAAGTATTGTGGCTGTAAGGAATGTGTTAGATTTAAATTTAAGGTGTACATAGAATAAGTGACATCTAATGTTTCCAAATTATATTGGTGTAGCTCAGAAATATTTAGTACAGAAATACTCCACCAGTTATTATTATTTAACCTTCATCAACCGGTCAAAAAATTCCAATGAATACCAAGTGGGGTATAAATTCACTCGAACATTTCTACCGATAAACTTTTTTTTTAATACACAGGGTGTTTAAAAAACATGTGCCATCTCTCGTGGGGAGATTCCTCGCGTAAAAATAAGATTTATTTTTCATGTCAACATAGATCCGATTCTGCTTTGTTTCGTAGCTACAGGGTGTTAAAATTATAATAAATTTTCGATTTATTATAATTTTCTTCCAAGTACTTTAAGTGATTTGAATGAAATTTTGAGGGTAAAAATTACTATAAGTGCTACATATTTTAATGCTAAAAAAGTGTTGATAAATTCATCAGGGACGTGCATATGGGTTATCACTGGAATATTTTCCAAAAAAAAAATGTGCGCCACTGACTTTTTTTGAAAACCTAATTTTAAAAAGTTTTAACATCCGGTAACTCTAAAATTATCCATTTCCATACCCATGTTTATATGAACTTCTTTTCATATTTTTGGATTAGGAATCAATAAGTACTTATCTAAAACGTTTGCAAGTTAATGATATTAATTTTTTTTAAAGGTTGCTATACTCTGTTTTTTTTCTCAGGTAAGATTTCGACAGACGATGACAGAAGAAAAGCAGATGACGTCCCATACCAATCTATTTATTTTACTAAAAAAGTTTCTAATAATTTTTAAGTTATCTATGGATGGGTTTAAATATAAATCCGTCATGCGTCGTGTCTTGTTGTTTTTAACCAGTTTTATTGGTTTATTTAAAAAATGACAGATCGTATTTCAATTTTATTGGTTTGACGGAACGATGAACGACAAACGAACCAACATTTTTGACGCTTGTCAAAGTCTTGCCAAATTATAGGTTAGAATTTTGTGTCAACTTTTGTTAAATACCGTGCGTTTTGGAAGATGATGCATTTTGATTCGTATTATTACGTGTGTTTTGTGTATTTTGAAGTCAAGTGGAGGAAAAATCGAGTGAAAATTAACTGTATACCCAGAGCACAGTTTATGGTTTATACTCGCTGCCCAGGCAGAAAGTTTTATACACCAATGAAGTTGCCATCGATAAAGTTTGTATACCATTTCGTCGTAGATAAGTGCATCTCGTATATGGTAGAAGGATCAAACTAAACACATACTAAAAACTGAGTAGCTGTAAAATATCGACATCACACGATATCTTTCACGATATGTAAATAATGGATTTTAGTAATTGCAGAAAAATAATGTCAAAAGGTACTGGTTTAAAAAAATTAAGATTAAAGTTAATTAATCAACCTTTAAGGTATAAAATTTGGTAGGTGTTATTATTAATAAAATAGTTTGTTTTATTTACCTATTTATTCCTGCGGAATATTACAAATTTGTATTTGTACATAAGTTATATTGATAAATATAATCATAAATGCGGGTAGTTTCATAAAGCTTGAAAGTAATTAATAGTTCTTTTTCATATTTTTTTGGTATGTAGTGTCTTTTCTTGTTTGTTTTGTATTAACACATACCGTTTTTATTAAATAAAATAACTCGATTACATTTTTTCAGTTTTATACAGTTTCTGACAGTTTTATTCACAATATTTTGAAGTAATCACTTGTCATCTTGTCAATCAATTTTAAATATATCCTGCTATGCGTTTCAGTTGTACCAACTTATTTCTTTGTAAAATGAAATAAACTACTTTGAAATTAAAATGACAGACACATCTATCACTGTCAAGGATCTTCTCGTTGGACAGACTATATTAGACTTGGATCAGGGCAAATTAATAAAATTACGTTTATCTCATCAAGGAGGCCGAAATCGACAAAATATCAAGAGACAACTTATAATCAGAATTAAACTGCTTACACTATTTTGCTAATAAGAGAAAAAAAAAGTCAGTGGCGTACATGCATTTTTTGATAAAATATTCGTCCCTGATTAATATAGCGACACTTTTTTAGCCTTAAAATATGTTGCATTTATAGTAACTTTTACCCTCAAAATTTCATTCGAAACGCTAAAAGTACTTGGAAGAAAAGTATAATAAATCGAAAAAATATTAAGACTTCTTAACACCCTGTAGCTAGGAAACAAAGCAGAATCGGATCTATGTTGATATGAAAAATAAATCTTATTTTTACGTGAGGAATCTCCCCACGAGAGATGGCACATGTTTTTTGAAACACCCTGTATTTATATACCGGCCTATATTTATACAGGGTGTCCCAGAAATAAGTGCAAGTATTTTAACTGGTAGTATAGTTCAACCCCAGAAACACGCCTCTGAGGTTTTTTTCGCGAAAAAAAAATCTTGAAAATTCGAAATTTTTTGAAAAAATCTTTTGAATTTATTTTAGTTTTTAATTAAAAAACATAATTTCTTGATAATATGGCAACATTGGTATTAGATTAAATTTACAAGAAAGAAAATCCAGAAAAGATCCAGTGGTTCTCAAAATTTTAGCAAAAAATCATTTTTTTTGAAAATTTTCAAAGTAAAATAACTCCGTTATTTTGGACTTGTATATTAAAATTTTAGACTTATATAAAACAATAAAGAGAAAATATGTTTCTTTTGTCGAGATCTACCACTCCTCAAAAAATACTTGTACTTATTTCTGGGACACGCTGTATATAAAATATTTTTAATTTTTATACACCGGGCGTGTCTCAAAAGTGATTTTTATTTTTTTAAGTTATATTTTTTGAAGACTTAAACAATATTTGTCCGATGATTTTTTTTTCTTTCAATATACAGGGTAGTCCGAATTTAAATCGAGAAACTTCGGCAGTATGTATTGTTTATTCCGGTTAATCTAGACATTCGAAGGTACATAAATTTACAACAAGCTGAAAATGCTTGTAATTGTTTAAAACATAAATAAAAATAATATTTTAAAATTCCGAATCATGCCGGTGCCTGGAAAAAAATTTATGCGAGGTCAAAGGTCAAAAATATAGAAAAAAATTGTTTTTTCGTGATTTTCAGCAAAACGGTAAGTTTTCTCATAAAATTACTTCATGCAAAAATTATAAATCATAAAATTCTCGATAAAAAATGTATTAATACTTTTTTCCTTAGGGCCACTGTTTCTGAGATATAACGAGTCAAAGATTTGTAATCGTCATAATATGCACACGTTTCCACGCCACCTATGAAGTAGTGTAGTTAGCGCGTTTTTTAACGTGGTTTCCCCAATAGCCTTATTCCACATGTCTATTGTGATTCTGTTTAATGGGCTTTTTCACAAAAAATAAAATACCCAATTCAAGGACAAAATCTGAAATAGAAGATTATTTTCAGTTAAAAAAAAATAGAATAATAAAATTACTTTAATTTGGAATAATTTTAAAGTGCCAGTTGATAACGTATGAAAAATACGCCCAATCACAGCAGAACCATGCTCGTGCGCCTGCCAACAACTGGCAACATTGCGATTTAATTTGACGTGCATGTTGAATAATAAATTTGAGGTTAAATTTTTTGTTTAGTCCGTTTGTGAAAGCTTGTAATCAAATTTTAAGTTTTAAATTGTTATTTTTTGATAATTTGTTCCATCACGGTCGTACTAGAACCTGGATTCGAAAAGGCGTCATCTGATAACCTTTCTAAAGTTGACGCCGAAATGATTAAATTTTAAATGGGTCAGCATAGTGGCGGTGTTGCCGCTTTTCAACATACCAGGTGTGACGTATTAAAATTAAAGTGCGGATTTTTATTCTGGGCATTTTTGTTTCTATTTATTTTCTAAAGAACGACGTCAAGTTTTTCGAAAATGAGATAGCAGAAAATTCTAGAATTAATAGCTTTATTCAATTATGCGAATTCCAAAATATAGTGAAAGACCCATTGAAAACTATTTCAGAATAAAAGATATTAGTAAGGATTGGAAATTATAAAAGCGATGAAAATAAAAAAAAATAGAAATTTACTAGTCTGATTCATAACCTTCAAATACTTCTTCTTGTCGTTCTTCTTGATCTTCGTCTTGTTCGTTTTCTTCATCCTGAATGTAAATAAATTGCCCCAATAGTGATGTATCGCATGTTTCTTCGTTGGTATCAAACGAATCCTCATATTTTGGTGATTCAACATTAGAACATGACCGGACTTGAAAATTTGTACATGCCGGAGAACAAAACAGTCCAACTTTTTTACAACCATAATTAGCACTGCATCCCTTTTTACAGTTGCAAAAAATTGTATTTAGCAGTTTTTCTGGCGTAGATGGGAGTAAAGTCTGAATTGGTTGTAATATATTGTCGACCAACTTCCAACCCCAGTTTTTTAGGTCTAGCTGATAAGCAAGCCACACTTGAATTTGGTAATATACCCGAAAAAGATGCTTGAAAAAATGTATAGAGATGTGTTTTAGAAATCAAGCCAAAATTCGATATTTTGCAAAATCTGAGAAAAGAAAATTTCTCGAAAATAATAGATAATTAAATATTATCTATCGATGAGCTCTATCCATAGACAATGTTCCCATATTAGTTGTGTTTCTAAAATGTATAGTTTTGACACATTTAAGACGAAAATTTTTAATTGTAGATTTTCTTGATATACCCCTTGAAAAAATGTTTTTCTTATATTTCAATTTTTCATCTCAAATGGAATAAAAAACGATATTGTAGGAATTTTTAAAGCACTAATACTCTCCTTATATGTTATTATTTATCCCTAGAAGGATGGTTTGAAGAAAAATTATTTCGTGCATATTATTGATGTCACTAAATACACCATTGTATAAAATTTTATACCTCTAGATGTTATAGTAA